ATCCAAGGTTCTTCTCAGCAGAGTTGAGTGGAGAGAGAAGCATCTCCTAGTGAGATTGTGGCCTCTGCGGGTCAAGAGCTACCGTGAACTGCCCGTCCTATTCTGCCATGGATACAGAAGCAGTTGTCACTTAGGAGAAGCAGCATGGGTGACATAAAGTGGGATATAGTAACGGGACATTTTTACTTGGCTCTGGCATGCGTCTGCATGGGTATATTTTACCTGCCTCTGGACTGGGTCCAGCTTCCAGTCCCCCACCCTACACTCATGCCCCCAGCCCCTTCCCCACAGCAGCTCAGATTTCTAATAATCTTTGATAGTAATTATTTTTAAAGCTAAGCACAATACAAACTTCAAGAAACTAGGAAGTACAACAAATTAGTATTCTACTTAATCGAATCAAGGTCTTCCCATTTTGAGGGAATACATTTCCATTTCCATTCGCATATGTATTGACTCTTGTTTTTTACGGCAGGTGTCAGATATTTGAGTTTTGTCACGTGGCAACAAAATAGGGGAACTCTCCTTTGAAGGCACGCGATGAGCCACTCTAGAGAACCTCGGGGGGTCAAGACTAACCTATCCCCTTGAGTCAGAGATGTCTTGAGTATTTATTGACCTCAGTATTGAATGAGTTGGGAGCAGAAGGTGTTCCTTAGACAGGAAGTAGGAACTCAATGGGTGGCCCAAAAGAAATGTCTGTATTATAAAACAGAAAGACAAGGAAGTATAGTCAAGCTAACAAAACACACAGTACCTAACAACACAACCTGTTGTGTCTCTTAATGATACTTGGTCTAGCTATTAGCCTGAAGCAGTAACTAAACTCTTTGTCCACTATCACCCCCCAGCCCAGACTCATTTCTACTCCTACATTCTCATTCAGGAGATATCTTTACCCATCCAGGAGATCTCTTGACCTAGAGTAGCTTGGTGTACAATTTGAGAACCTCAGGCCTAGAAATTGTCCCCTGCAGTGTTAGGTCCCCTATTCTGGACTCCCTTGGCACACTGCACATCCCTGTTCTGGCCCTTAGCGTATTGCGTTGTGATAAGCTGCTTGTGTGTCTGTTTCTTTCTCTAAGGCTGTGAACTCTCTCAGGCAAGAATCATGCTCTCCTCCTCTTTGGACACCAGCGATACTGCAGGGCCTAGCTGGTATACAACTGAGAGAAATCGAAATAACAGGCAGGTCAGAGACACAGTGGAACCCCAGAGAACCAGGGTGGCCATAGAGGAAGTCAACCTGGATGCCAGTCAAGCTCAACTCTATGGTTCTGAGAGGGAATAAGAATCCCACTGGATCTGGAAATGGTCCCAGCCTGAATCTGCCTGGTCAGGCCTGAGTCAGCCAAGGGAACCAGAGGCTGTTGTCTCAGAAAGGGGCCAACAGAAAGCTACACCAACAAACTCTTAGTTTTGTTTTTGGTTTTCATTTGGTTTCCTGGTAAGAGTGCCTCAGGAGAAGAAAAAAGAGAATGGAAGGAAAGAAAGATGGGAGAGGGAGGAAGGGAGGGAGGGAAGGAAGAAGGGAGGAATACTTTGTCCCAGGCAAGCTACTGGGAAACGGAGTTTTCCTTTCCAAATCTCCTTCAAAGTCATGAGGGTGTCTCTGTGACCCTGGGGCCAGACCAACCTTGAATCTGAAAATCAATGGAGATTTCTGCATAGTGGGAGGAATCCCAGACGGAGTGGAACGAGGCCATCAGTGGGTGCTGCGGGTTCCTCCCCTTTTGGCTATTTTCCTCACAGCTGCGGCCTGATTTTTTGATTGGCCATTGTGTTTATCTTATTTGTGCAGTTCTTCCCCATCCTTAGTAGACATGAGAATTTGCATCATTTTTTTTTTCATATTCTGCAACAAATGAACCCTAAACATAATTGGGAAGGTTGGGACCAGGATCAGAAGGCGTATTTGTGTTCACACATGATAGAACTTCAACAACTCACGTGTTCCATCGATTCTAACCAACAAGGTGCCATTTAAATCACTAATTGCTATAATTTGTTGCTACAGTCCAATGGCTGGGTTACTGGCATTTTAGTTTAAAGGGATACTCCTCCTTTATCTGCTCAGGATCTCAGGCCATCTCTCACGTGAACCCTCTGCCAACATCTGAGTTGCTCTGAGGGTGGCAGATGTTCAGGATCGATCTGGGGTTTAGGGTCCACCCCACACACTCCCACTTGCCCTTGGCATTGGCCCCACTGGATGGACCATGGAGCTGGGTGCTCTATGGCAACAGGCTTTCTTCAGCAGAGTGGAGTGTTCTCCTGCGCCCATGTTCAGTCTGTTCTGTGGGCAGAGTTCTGGGAACAAACTCAACCCAAATCAGTGCCAGCCTACCAGTGGGTGAAAGGGTAGCAGGCTTTGCCCGTGACTCATGACCCTAAGGAAAATATGACCTTACTCCTCCTGCAAACTGCCTAGGGAATTGCACACCTCTATTTCAGATAAATAGCTAGCTTCTAGAAATTTTCAAAAAAATAAAAAGAAAACTTTAAAGCACACTACTGCCAGAAAGTTCTTCCTGGTAGCTAACTTGAGCCCTTTGTGCTGTAGCCAACATTTGTTTTATTTTGGCTAACCCTTACCAAAGAAGGTGCATCAGATACAATAACCTTCCACAAACTTGAAGACCTTTCTGACTAGGTGTTCTCCAAAATGAAGAATTTGAATTTCCTTAATCTTGCATCATAGTCATATCACCCAAACCTTTAATTATCTTTTTCAATTTATTTCTTTGAACCCTTTCCAAAACTTGTCTTTTGAGTTACGGAGACCATAACTTAATTAGATCTTTCATTTCCAGAAGATACTCCTAGTGCTTTGGAAGAAATAAATTAAATTTCGGTCGGATATATTTCACTGGAGGAAGGGTGTAGAAAAAAGAAATTGGATCCTTTGTATAAATAGCACATTGTCTGGTACCATAAATGAGTTTTCCTTTTGCCAATTGTTTTTGAAACAATGGGTCCTTTTTTAGTGAATTTACTCCCTCAGAGATTCTAACCTCTGAAAGATCATGATTTGCATTCTTTTGTGGGTACATGACTTCTGTATGGAAAAAAGTGAGATGTGTGGACTCTGATTGTCTGGTGAGCTGCGAGGAAATAGACAAGCCAGCAGTTAGGTACGTTGTTAAGGTGTGGGGATGGGCACGCGTGGGGCTCTGCGCTTCTAGCCTTTTTTGCACCGACTTCTGTTCGGGGGGCATCAGAAGAGTCTGTCTTGCTTCTCCATAACTTCATCTTACTGTAAGATGTCTCTTACAATGCTGTTCTCATTAGCTGTGCAGATTGCTTCATCGTGATCATTTGGTATCCGTGCTCATGTTTTCATGGGGGAAAAGAAAGGTCTTTAACTTACCTTTGTGCTGGAGCAGAGCGATAGAGCCTGGCCTTAGAGTCCGACCTGGAGTCTGGCCTTCGCTCAGCCATCACCTTAGCCAGGCAACTTTGTGCACGTTTTTTCGCTTCTTTCCACCTGGGTTTTATCTTGTGTGGAATGAAGAAGTTGGACTCACAGATGATCTCTGAGGTCCCTTCCAAGCTGACCCAGCAAGTCCCACAGCATCAGCTGTTCTAATTACTCCATAGAGGTGCAGGACAAGGAAGGAGGAGGTGGGTTCAGCAGCCAATCGGGAAAAGGTTGTCAGTTTAACTAGGATTCCCTCTCATCTCTTCTGCCTCCCAAGGACTCTGAATCAGTAGAGCATAAAGGGACAAGAATGATCACCTATTGATCACCTACCATGTGTTAACCACAGTCCAATGCTTTTTATGTACACTAGCTTATTTAATCTGCACACCTCTCTATAGAGTAGATGTGCTATTTGTCTTCTACCTCCACAACCCCCACACACCTCCCACCCACCCCCAGCCCGATGTGTCTACATTCCTCAGGTCTCCCTTGAAATGTCACATCCACAGTGCAGCCTTCCCTGACCCTGACACCAGTTCGGCCTCCCTGCCTATGTTCTTGTGGTCCCCTGTGCTTTCCCTCCATTGCACATTTACATCAATGTAATTAAATAATTATCTGTATAATTAATATTTTCATGCTCACTTGACCGAAAACTCCTTCAGGGCAGGGACCCTATACGTCTTTTTCATTACTGTATTCCTAGAGCCTAGCACAGTGCTGACAAAGTAGTTGAGAGCCAGTAGATATTTCCTGAATAAATGTAAGCTTGGATGCATGAATGAATGAAAGGGTGGGTGACTAGCAAAGCTAGATACCAACCCAGAACTATCTGGCTCTTGGAGTCCTGACTGTAGAATTTCAGAAGAGCTCTCCCTGTAAGCTTGTACAAGGGGGCTGCGGCTATAAGCATCCTGTGGCTATCGACTCATTATTAGTAGGGCTTTGAGTTGTTTGTCCAGAAGTGGGAATGACAGCTGCACTGCTCTGGCCATGTGCTGCTTGTCCCCAAAGGTATCTACAAAATAGCTGGAGATGATGGATCTAGACTGGGGCTGTTGGTGATGGTGGTTGGAAGCGGGTAGAGGGAGGCAATGAATTCAACCAAACCAATTGTCCTTGTGGGCATTCAGCTCCGTGTCTTAATAACCACCAGCACCGCTTCTAACCCATTCTGCCAAGGGGCTGCAACAAGAATCTGCTCTGTCAGGGATCTGGGTCAGAAAGAATGAGTGGGTGAAGAGGAAGGAGGAAAAACCAAGACATGGCAACCTTTTAGAGAAGCAAAAATAAAACGCTAATGTGGAAACTGCTGAAAATAGACTTGCTTGGGCTGTCAGGCTGCATGCAAATCCAATGCTAATTACATGGAAATTAATTACAAGTCCTAACTTCCATATGCCTTGATATGACCCGTGGGGAAAAACCTGCTGCAGGTGTCTCCCCCATACCGCAAAGCGTGAGTGGAACACGGGCTTTGATGTTGCCTCCTTCACACTCAACGCTGCCACTGCAGTGAGAAAAACTGAGAGGAGGCTAAAAATACTAACAATAGAAATTTGATTTCTTCTTCCAGACAAAAAGCCTTGGCATCCACAGGAGGAAGAAGTGTTCAGGCAGCATGTGACTGGTTGGTATGAAATAAATAAATTGAGAAAATAGCATATAATTAACTCTGAGTGTATGTGGATGAGTGGGGCTGTGCAGTCTTCCTCTAATGGACCCTTCCAGGGGGGACATGAGCCAAAAGATGGTGTGACAAGGCCCTTTATCAAGTCAATGGCCTCCCCTGCCCTGGCCCCAGGGTGTGCTTCTCCTTGGCACTGGTTAGAAAAATTCGAAGTATTTCCAAAATAAGGCCCTTCTCACAATATCTGCCCCCTCCAGTCATTTTAAGGTTCACTTTGGGGGCGTGGATGCTGGGCAAATCCAATTAGAAAAATATCCTACTTACCTTTCAGGATCCCACTGCCCAGGGTAGATCCCACAAGGCAACTCTCCTATGTTTAAGCCTAGACGGAACCGAAGGGCAGGCTGGGTTGCAACCGTACTACTGGGTTGGGAAAGGCTTTGGAGTTTATCCGAGAGTGCTTCCTGGAGAGCAGCTTCAGGATTTTTTTTTTAAGGAGTTGTGGGATGATGAGGCTATATGACAAGCAGAAGAGCAGAAGTTGATGCATCTGAGAGTTAGTGATGCAGTGTGAGCTTCAAGGAGTAGGTTTTTAAAGCATGAATGAAAACCCTTCCCTGTGCAGTGCCCAGGTGCGAAGTTGATGGAGGGCGGATCCGTCTCTTTCAGTTCTTCCTGCCCTCCCATCATTCTCCAGCGAGCCCTCCTTGGCTCCCTCCTCTCTTACAGGTTATTCTCCCACGTCGGTGACCCCTTCCTGGATGACCCCCTGCCCCGGGAGTACGTCCTCTACCTCCGCCCCACCGGCCCCTTAGCACAGAAGCTCTCCGACTTTTGGCAGCAGTCGAAGCAGATCTGCGGGAAGAACAAGGCACACAACATCTTCCCCCACATCACCCTCTGCCAGTTCTTTATGGTGAGCTGCACCCCCCGCCCCGCCCAGGGAGCCTGGCTCCAGTGTCCCACCAGCCGCTTGTAAAAGCGGAGCCACTCAGGAAGATGGCAGAAACAGCTGTGGGTGCCTAGAGCCAGGTGGACCTGGGATCAGTGTGGTCCATGGCCAGGATCTTGCCCCAACGCCTCCTCCTTCACATCTGCTGAGGCCCAGGAGTGCCCCAGGTCTGACGTAGCATCAGGATGATCGAGTGCTCCCGTGGGCCCCTCTGTGAGTGGCACGCTGGTCTGGCAGCGGGAAGAGGTTCACTGATCTAGCTTCCCCCTTGTCCATTGGCATCCCTTCTGCAACCAGGAGAGAGCAGAGACTAAGAGACAGTGGGGAACAGAAGTGTAGTCTATAGACAGGGAAAGCTATTTTAGCCTTGCGACACAATCCATACTTTTCTTTTCTTCACTAGCTCTTTCTAGAGAAAGCAGAGATACATTTTACCTGCCATAGTTAGCTAGTCTATAATGCTGGCTGCCAGAAAGCTTAACGACCAAATTAAATGCCCCTCACTATACTAAATGTAAATACATTTCATCTACTTTAGCTCTCCGTGGTGATGGAGAAGAGTTGATTTATCCACATATATTCAAGACAAAGCAGAACAGTAACATTTTAAGACAACTTTTTAAAAAATATTTTGCTTTAGTTTCTCCAGATGTATATTACCCACCCCCCCTTAGATAAAAATATGTTCCTAACACCTTCTCTTTTACCATTCACTCTGAAAATTAAAGTGATTATCATTTCCTCTTAGTCATCCCAGGCGCCTTCTCTAAAGCCTTCAGGGTTTTAGAGACACTCATTCTTTCTTCCAATGCTCTCAGGAAGGTAGGAGGATGATGTCACAGCTCTCCGAGACTCATTCTTCCCAACTATCCTGAGGGTGGAAGTACAGTCAACTTTTGATCATCTAAGAGGAACAGAAACAGTACAGATGATGCGAAACAGTAGAAAACACCCAGTTCATCCTGGGATGCTGTGCTCTTTCTTTCTTGTAACATTCTTCCTTTTTTTTTTTTTCTTCTCATGAGCAAGGAGAACTTCTTTTTTCAATTGAGAAATAAGCAGTATATATTTATAGTGTACAACATGATAGTTTGCTATACGTATACGTTGTGGAGTGGCTAAATTAAGCTAATTAATTGTATATGCATTGGCTCACGTATTTATTTGTGGTGAGAATACTTAAAGCCTACTCTCTTAGTAATTTTCAAGCATACAGTGCGTGGTTATTAACTATAGTCACCATGTTGTACAACAGCACTCCTGAACTTATTTATCCCTCCTAACTGCAATTTCGTGTCCTTTGATCGACATCTCCCCAATCCCACCAACCCTGCTTTCTGCTCGGCCAGTCTTACTTCATTTTGTCTGTGTTCGCA